TGAGGCAGAGGACAAACATGCTAGGCAGACAGAGCTTAAGTAAGACATTTTACTAGAAAGTGAAAGGGAGGAAGAAAAGAGGTAAAAAGACACAGAGAGAGGACAGAAGAGAAGAGGAAGACAGGAAACGTCCTGTCTGCCCAGAGGAACAGCAGGAAAGAGAAAGGGACAGACAGCATAAGAGGGGTGGATGTCTGTCTTTTAAAGGAATCCTTTGCACCTGCATGCAGACTAGTAGTCATGGAACCCTGGGCTGACCAGGGTACTGCCTGAGTGCATTCTGCCAGGTGACGGGGACAGGCCAGCATAATGCCTGAATCCTTACAGGGCTTACTGGTGCACTTCATTAATCCTCGCATCTGGGCTGCAGAGGCAAGCAGATCTCTTGTGAGTTCAAGGCCAGCCTAGTATATAAAGCAAGTTCCATGCAAGCAAGGGCTACATAATGAGACCCTGTCTGGAAAAGAAAATAATATAACTAACTAAATATTATTTTTAAATAAAAATATAATTAGTCAGAGAGGAAAACTTGACTGACAAATAATTTATTTGCAGTTATCAAAGTATTATCAAATACTAGCCAGGTGATGTTGGCACCTGCTTTTACTGCCAGCACTCAGAAGGCAGAGGCAGGCAGATCTTTTGAGACCAGTATGGTCTACAGCGTGAATTTCAACAGGCTCCAACGTTACACAGAGAAACCCTGTCTCGAAAACAAAACAACACGTTATCAAACACTATAGTCTGTGATGATGCTAATGGAAGTTGGGTAGTTGGCTCACTGATAAAATGTCTGTCATGCAAGTCGAGGACCTAAGTTGGATCCCTGACACCCATGCAAAAAGCCCCATGCTGGGGAGACAGAGGGATCTCTAGGGCAGCATGGAGCCCCAGGTTCTGGTAAAAGATAAGGTGAAGGCTGGAGAGATGCCTGGTGGAGTAAGAAAAGTGGCTGCTCTTGCAGAGGACCCAGATTTGATTCTCAGCACGCACGCACGCACGCACGCACGCACGCACGCACACACACACACACACACACACACACACACACACACACACACACACGATGGCTCACAACCATCTGTAATTCCAATTCCAGGAGACCCACTATTCTATTCTTACCTTCTCAGGCACCAGGCACTCGTGTGGCACAGAGACACACATACAGGCAAAACACCCATAACATATAAAATGAGAATAAAAGAAGAAAAAGTTGATGGCTCCTAAGGAAAAACAGCTAAGGAGTTGAGCATGCACATACGGAAAATGACAATACTTTAATAGTGGGTCCAACCAAAGTTTCTCTGGTAGAGCTGAAACTTAAATTTAAACTTAAACTTCCTGTTTGCTAAGAAACAAAATAACTTCAGCCTGTGAATGAACTGAGATGACAGGAAAAGTGAAGTTACAAAATGGGGGGGATGGGAGGGCAATGTTTTATTAGAAAGCTACTCCTACATGTGGTGCACCCAGGAATGTCTAGAGCCACTCATAGAAGCAGTGAGGCGTCCAAATAACCTTACAGAGCACAGAGGGGATCTTCTACAAAGGCCAATTGGGTCTGCTGGGGAAAGAGAGAATCCAGACTCGTAAGATGAGTCTGTGCTACCACATCTGGATTAAGTCCTGGCTAGTTGAGCACCTCATATCTGGCACACAAGCAATGAAAGAAGTCCACATGTCCATGTCACATTGCAAAAATACAAACAACACGAAAGGCTAGGACATTACCCATGCCCAACCCATTAGTCCTATGGAAATGTTCTCTAATGAAAATTACCATGAACCCCAGGACACAGAACTTAAAAGATCCTAGAAACCTGCCAGAGAAGCAAGCAGGCCAACAGAGCAGGTAGATGGGCTTCAGATGGTCCCTCTCTCTCCTCTCCTCCAAATCCAATTCCCTATCCCTATCCCCAGCTCTATAGCAGACTGTTTGGTGGCCTTCCCTCACTCTGTCCCATTCCCATCCCCATTCCCATGGGACTAAGCAGATCTTATCGCCCCTGTCTGGTGGACGCCTTCAGCCCCCCCTCCAACACAGCCCATTCCTACGTGTGAACTCCAATACCTAGACACTCATTTTACCCAGACCCTTCCCTGGTGGCCACACCTAGCAGGATTCCAGAAGAATTACCTACCAGACAACACACAGCACCACACCCTCCTAAGAACCAGAGATGGCAACAGAAAACAAGGAAAAGACACACACAGAACAAAGACAAGACTAGACATTATTACCTAAAATGACAAACCCAGATGCCTTGATGTCAGCATAAAAACACAATCAACAGCAGCTAGAGCAATATGCCTACACTAGAGCACAGCAATACTACCACAGCAGGCCCTGTGTATTGCAACATAACTGAAGTACAAGACAAGGACTTAAATGGCATTTATGAATCTGGCAGAGGTCCTTAAAGAGGAAATTAATAAATCCCATAAAGAAATCTATGGAAACACAGTGGGAGGAATGAATAAAACTGTATAAGACCTGAAAGTGGAAACAGAATCAATAAAGAAAACCCATAATGAGTCAAATCTGAAAATGAAAATTTTAGGAACTTGGAAAGGGAGCTCAGAGGCAACCATCAACAACAGGATACAAGATATGAAAGATAGAAGAATCTCAGGCAATGGAGACACATTAGAAGAAAGCAATACTTTGGTCAAAAAAATATTAAAAATAAAACAAAAAAACCTGGCATAAAACATCCACAAATAGAGGAAAGGTAAGAAACCCAGCTCAAAGGCCCAGAAAATATTTTCAACAAAATCATAAAAGAAATTCCACTAATCTAAAGAAGATGTCTATCAAGGTACAAGAAGCATAATAGAACACCAAATAGACTAAACCAGAAGAGAAATTCCCATCAGCACATAGTAATCAAAACACTAAACATACAGAACAAAGAAAGAACGTTAGAAGCTACAAGGGAAAAAATAGAATAATGCCTGCCTTCTAAATGGACTCAAGTTCTACAAACTCTAAGAGACCACAGATACCAGCCCAGACTATGATACAGAGCAACACTTTCAATCACAGCAGATGAAGAAAATAAGACGTTCCATTAAAAAAAGCAAATTTAAATAAAATCTATCAACTAAGCCAGCCCTAAAGAAGGCACTAGAAGGAAAACTCTGACCTACAGAGATTAATGACACCTAAGAAAACACAAAAGAAAAAATAATCCCGGAAGAGCAGGGAGAGTGCTGCGTGGGAGATGAGCCCCAACACTGCCCACCTTACTGCCTCTGCCCCGCCCACCGACGTCACTACTAACCCTGCCCTGCAGGCACCAGAGCCACAGTCTGTTCAGGCCCCTGGATGCCCCTGCCCACCTACACCTTAGGGCTGACCTGTGTTAGCAGTGGCCATGTCCAGTGTTGTTCCCCACACACGCGTGCGTACACACACACACACACACACACACACACACACACACACACACACACACACTGCTTGACCACAGAAGCCCCTTTTCAATGCTATAGACGTCCCCTCTCTCATCCAGGGGCTGAGGCTGCAGCATTGTAACAAAAACAGCATTATATCACTTTTTCTTTCTTTTTCCTGTGTTTTCTTTTGGTGGTGGTGGCTCGTTTAAACATGTATTTAGAACTACACTTTGTCAAAAACCCTCCCTTCCCTTTTCACTCCCCGGTTAACTGAGGTTTTTACCCATCTCTAGAGCAGTTCAAACCCTAAGTGGTCCAGTGCTTAAAATCCCCTCTGGTGCTTGGTTGAACAAGGGAATCACAAGAAAATGAAAATGCAGAGACTGAACTTGGGGGTCGTTCTGTGCCTTCCAGCATATTGTACAGCAAACCCTGACTTGTCTTTGTACCCCCGAAATATCGACTTCAGTAGCGATTGAATCTGCCACTGTCAAAATATGTTACTTGCATGTATTCCAAATACTCTCATTTACTCTTAACTGTTTATGCAAACTGTATAAGGTTTCTTGTGCCCAAGATTGAAAAATGATTTCCCAGTAGACAAGAGGCCACCACCCATCCTCCAGTTGGTTTATTTACATGAGAAGATCACACAGAAGCCCTCCTCTCCAGGCCTGACAGGGCAGCCCTGAGCTGAGGGGAGGGGGAGGTACAAATGATCTCAAGGATTATTGCCTGCAACGGGGGACTGCTAAGCCCTGACATTAGGACCATCTTAAATCAATGAGAATCGGGTTCCTTTCTTTAATTTAGGAGATTTCACAGTATAAATTAGTAGCATTATCTGCTTTTAGAAAAGTACTACACATTCACTAAGAGGCAAACACCTTTTTGAATGATAAAAATACAGAAACAAAGTACAAACTGTATAGTCAAAGGTGAAGAATAAGCAAGCCAGGCGTTGGTGGCACACGCCTTTAATCCCAGCACTTGGGAGGCAGAGGTGAGTTCGAGGCCAGCCTGGTCTACAAGAGCTAGTTCCAGGACAGCCTCCAAAGCCACAGAGAAACCCTGTCTGGAAAAACCAAAAAAAAAAAAAAAAAAGGTGAAGAATAAGCAAATAAGCTCCCGAACTTACCGGTTTTGGTACCTTAAAGGCCCTTGCCTCTAAGATGAGCACAACACTCCTACCTGAGTGAGTCTGAAGCACATGTAAGTCATAGAAAGGTAAGTTTTTCCTCAACGTTTTCATACACAGAGACTATATCTCTAAAGTCATAGAGTTTACTCAATAAATTGTAACACCAAATTCCCAGTCATTGCTATCAACGGTGAGCACTGACTCATCAGCCACAAAAACAAAAAGTATAAAATCAACAGAGAATATTTAAAAGAGAAAAAAGTCATCAAATTTCTATTATCATTTAGAAAGAAAGAAAATATGTCTGAGCTTTAATTAGAACACAAACTGTGCTTTCTCTGATTAAAAATATACTCTGTTTTGTTAGGTGAATCCACTGGGAAACTCAGTGGAAGAACTCCAAATTTATATGAAACTATTTCTTAATTAAAAACATGCCACTTGTGTGGATTAAAAAATGTACCAGAGGTTTTATGTAATTTATTAGTCAAAAAAGATGCATGATGGGTGTTACAGCCAATTCAAAGTAGAAATTTTTAAATGATGTAGAATAAAGGAATGTTGAGATGAAGGTGCAAGCAGAAGCAAAAACATCTTCTTACAGAGAGATCAACTGAAGGCCAGGCCAGCATCTAGAGGTCCATAAACAAAAATTACTTTGCATTGCTATAATTTACCTACAACTTACATAGTTGTAAAATGACTCCCATAGACTTGGAATTAGACATTAGATTCCAGACAATGAAACTTTCTGCCCACCCATTTTCCATATACGAGGGTCACTGCTCCTTTGAAACAAGAAGGGGGGAATATGAGGTTATGCACAAGTTAATTTACAGGAACTCCAAGAAATTAAAGATGTTAATCTCTGACCACTTTCCCGTCCTCATGCACCTTCACTGAAACATTTGCTACAAATTAAGGGAACTGCTGACTGCAAGAAAACTCTATGCACAAAAAATATTTCACACCTGTGTCAAAGCAAAAACACAGCTCTCAGCTCAAGGGATTTTTTTTTCTTGGATTTTTGAGACAGGCTTTCTCTGTGGTTTTGGAGGCTGTCCTGGAACTAGCTCTTGTAGAGCAGGGTGGTCTCGAACTCACAGTGATTCACCTGCCTCTGCCTCCCAAGTGCTGGGATTAAAGGTGTGCACCACCACCACCCAGCTCACTCAGGAAATTTAAGAGAGAATCAAGAGCCAAATATGAGTGGCCATAGCCCAGGAGTACAGATTGACGTTACCCCAATTACCATGTTCCATAGTTTTATCAAGTTTTTACGATAACAGAAAAAAAGGACGCCATAAGTCAGGGCATTTAACCCCCCACCCCCACCTCTTTTTTATTCTTGTATATGTTCACAATATGTACAGCCACTATATGGGTACAGGGAGCTTTTTAAATACCTGGGAGATGTTCTGGGTCATTCTTTGAATGGCAAGAATAGATCAAACCTCTGGAAGCTGTCAGAAATTAAATCAAGGAGTCTATTACTAGCAAAGTTTGGGAAGTGGTTCTCCAGTATGTTTCAGTTTATGGACTTCGATACCAGAAATTAAGTAATCTGGCACACGTTTAAAAAGGCTATAGTTGTTTCCAGGAATCCTGCAGGACCACTGCATTCTTCCCAAATATGGCCATAAATATGGCAGGGGTAGGGGGGATGCAGAAAGGCAGAGTAATGGGCTTGGTGGAGAATTCAAGACAAGTTCCACCTGCTACACAGTACAATTGATGGAAAGAAAGAAGCGAGGAAAAGGAAGATAACAAATGCAAAGCTGAGAAAGAAGGAGGAAACTCCAACCACACAAAAAGACCTCAGAAACTCAAGCCCCACGGGGACAACTAAGTCAGAACTCCCACAGGCTGGCTCCCGCACTGGTGTTTTGAAAGTTCTTATGGTTGCAACCTGGAAACCAGGCTGAGCACCTCAGTCTTCCAGCTTGAGCTCATCAATTTCATAGGAGATGAAGCATGTCATAGGTGTGGTGGTTTCAAGTGACTCAACTCTTCCTGCTAAAGAGGATGTGAGGATTTGGGTTGAATTCCTTCTCTTTTAAATGAAAGCAAAATTCCTGAACAGGAAATAATTTGTGGTGGATGTTAGATTTTTTGCTGTTATTGTTTTTAAAGAGTGTCAAATCTCAAAATGTCCCTTTTCTGTGAATAAAAAGAAAAACAGCCAAGTTGAATTTGTACTGATCAGTGTGTACTATCCTGTCATGGTTGAATGACAACTCAGAAGTATGGTTATAAAATGATAGGCTCAAAGTCTTTTCCCTCTTCGTAACCGACTGAAGAATGTATTGACTTAGTGATACTCAGAGGTATAAAGGAAAAAGAAATGACTTGGCCTTAAACACCGATAGGATCAGTGCCAATATTGTTCAGTGAACTTACAGTCTGTTTTCCCTCACTGAAAAAACACATCTCATTAGATCTAAAATGTCATTGATTATAAGATGTACCACAGTTTGATTAAATTACCCACTAAGCTAAGTAGTTTTAAGTAGCTGTTTTTTTAAATAAAACAGGATTACTGTTAATGTTAACAATTAGGATTATTATAACAATAATACTTACTAACAATAGAGTTCAAATGTTCCAGAATGCAAATATAATTTTTCCTTATTTAAAAAATCTAATCTGAGACAATCCTTCAAATAAATGTCTGCTAAAGCTAAGTTGTTAATCATGCCTATTACACTTACTAGTCTCACAAAAGCAAATCTTAAGATACAATTACTTTAAAAAATGCCTACTGCATCACTTTCCTAAATGCCTCTTAAAAGATGTGATAAAAAAACAAAACAAAACAGTATCTCCCCCAAAAAAGATTGGCGGTTCACATATACTTAAGTAATCAGGGGTGAAAGAACAGGGTTTTTAAAATTAAAATGTTACTGTGGGGTCTTAAATATATTTTGAGTTTAACAGGAGCCAAAAGTGTCTGAATGTTGCAAACGGGTAGAGTAAGACACGAGCATAATATAGAATAACAAAAGCATGAGGTGAATCGAGTAAACCTGCTGTTAGTAATGTGTGCAGTGTAGATGGAAGGAGGGCAGGGTGGGGAAAGAGGAGTAGAAAAAGACTACATTACCCAGTCAAGAACCCGCGAAAACACAAAACAAGGGCAGTTGCGCAATGGAAATCTGAGATGTTAAGTTTGAATAACCCTGGCAGATTCGCTTAATGGGCGAGTCTTTCAATAAATGTATAGACTGACTGAAAACAATGTGTAGAAGGCATTCAGGCAAGATTCATTCCAATGGAGTAGGGAGAGAATGAAAGGCCGCTTCTGCTTCTCTGCTGAATCCTACCAATTTCTAAGTGCTGTGGAGCAGCAGCCCTAGAGACCAAGACTCAGAACTAGCATTGCGAGCCTACAGAATGGAGTTGGTGAGGAGACACAACTCCAATCTCGCCTGAGGAAGGTAATCTGTTAGCTCAAGGAACTGCACCTTGCAAAACACCTGGATAAGGAATCCGATGACCCAGAAACTCAGAATCAATGCTCCTAGTTTCCATTTCTTTGCCTTGTCTTTCTCTTAATCCTCTAGCAGGAAGCACAGAAGTTGGCTCCCAGACACCATCCCTACTAACTCATGAACCAAGAGTTAAATGCAAGCACACCACTAGGCTTTCTACCTGACAAATGTTCATTGGTGTCTGTAAGCATTGCCGCAGCTCAGGTGGACAGGGATTCAGGGCCACTTGGGAGTCAAAGAATACCACAGGTCACAGTAAGTTTAGCAGCTTTACAGCCCTGCTCCAGCGAAAGGCTTCCCCCAGTGTGTAACAGCTCTGCTCCAGCAGGTGAGGGCTTCCCCAGTGAAGTTGTTACACTTCAGCTATCTCCGCTTTGCTAGGGGAAGGTTTCCCTGGCGAAAGTGTTACAGCCCTGCTATGCTCCTTTCTGCTCTGGCTCAGGTGAAAAGTAGTTACTTCTCTGCTCTTCTCTCCTCCACTCCATTCCAGTCAAGGAAGGTCTCACACAAACCTCATTTGGGAGGGAAGAATCCAGGACAGGACAGCCGGAAGCCACAAGTTGAACAGGCACAGCAGTTTCTATAGGACTTCTTAGGGGCGAAGTTTTTCCAGGGAGAAGATTTCCAGGATGGGGATTGGTCAGATTTCAATCTCTGAGTTTAGACTGGTTAGATTTCATAGTCAGGGATTGGTTGGTTTTCTGCTCAGATTCCAGGTCAGATTTGGCTCTGATTTTAGGGTCAAAGTGTATTTCTTTCTCTGGACCTTTTAGGTCTTTTGGCTCTAATTTTGGGCCAGGGTGTATTTCTTTCACTGAGTCTGATTTTTAGGGCCAAAGTGTGTTTCTTTGGCACGTTTCAGGATCAGGGGGCATTTGTTTGACTCAGGTTACAGGGCCAGAGTGTGTTTCTTGGGCCCTGCTCAGGGTGTATTTCTTTGGCTGGTCCCTTATTGCCTACAGCGTCTATAACCATTAGGTGGAAGGTTTGCAAAAGCTTTAAAATGGAGGTGTCGGGATGCTGACTCCGACACACTTCATTAGTCACATGTGCACATCGCATACTCCCCATCACTAAATAAAAACAAAAACAAAAACAAAAAGTCATCAGAACTCAGCCTCTAGGCATAACCATACACTTTCACGAAACAGGGCGAATAAACCAATTAAAGCAGGATAGAGGACCAGGTCCATAGCAGCACAGCGGGCCGAATCTAAGGCGCTCCCGTGACAAGGTAAGCATCCCATTTCCTCAGTAAGCCATCGGCCTGAAGGGAAACCAAGCACGATCGCTGGCGGGGGCCAGAAACCAAAGGCATCGTCATCAAACACATGGCGAGACGAGTTCAGCCCTTCAGAAAGTTACGACGATGTCTGAGATGGCATCTTTGAAAGCAGCGAATCTGAGCGCGAGCTGGGGATCGGGCGACGTGTCTGCTGATGGTCGTGGCATTAGGGGCTGCGGCTGGTCCCCTAGTGTCTGTCTCCGACGGGCTTGACTTTCCCCGGGAACTTTAAGTGCCGAAACCCTGCGGTGTCAGGAGAGCCGCGCAGTCTGAGGCCGGCCTCTCCCCGCCTCCGCCGCTCCCGGCCCGGGAGGCGCCACTGCGCGCGATCCCGGCATGCCCTGCGGCCAGAGAGCCGCGCACTCCCGGCTCTACCTGGGCAGGCCTCTTACCCGACATGCATCGGGCTCTCATTTGCATACGCCGCCACAGGTAAACCATGCGGGTCCACGCAAACAGGACAACCTCCACCCGGCAGCCGAGTTTACAAGCTTAGATACACGAGTCCCATCAGAACCCTCTTTTGGGTTCCCGTGCGCCCTGCGAAATGCGAGGATGAAAGTCACCCTAACATAGAAAGATAGCAACTCATAGACCTTATATAGCCCATGACCAGTAAAGACGTTCGTGCTCGCTTCGGCAGCACATATACTAAAATTGGAACGATACAGAGAAGATTAGCAT